GGGGAAGAAATGGAGGTAGTGACAGATTTTATTTTTCTGGGCTCCAAGATCACCTCAGATGGGGACTGCAGCCAAGAAATTAAAAGACGCTTGCTCCTGGGGAGGAAAGCTATGGCAAATCTAGACAGCATACTAAAAAGCAGAGACATCACCCTGCCAACAAAAGTGCGTATAGTCCAGGCCATGGTTTTCCCAGTTGCAATGTATGGCTGTGAAAGTTGGACCATAAGAAAGGCTAAGCGCCAAAGAATTGAGGCCTTTGAACTATGGTGCTGGAGAAGACTCCTGCGAGTCCCTTGGACTGCAAGGCGTTCAAACCGGTCAGTCCTAGAAGAGATCAACCCCGACTGCTCTTTAGAAGGCCAGATCCTGAAGTTGAAACTCAAATACTTTGGCCACCTAATGAGAAGGAAGAACTCACTGGAGAAGGGCCTAATGCTGGGAAAGATTGAGGGCAATAGAAGAAGGGGACGACAGAGAATGAGATGGCTGGATGGAGTCACTGAAGCAGTAGGTGTGAACTTAAATGGACTCCAGAAGATGGTAGAGGACAGGAAGACCTGGAGGAACGTTGTCCATGGGGTCGCGCCTAGGGCAGTGGTTCTTAACCTTTTTGAATGAATCGCCCCCTTGAGCCAATGAGGAAGTTGTCATCACCCCACTTCCCCAACATAACCCCTCAATCACAACATAGGAAATAATTCTTCAATTTATGCAAACCTTTTTTTGTTTCCTTTAAAATTGTCATCAGGACATATCGATGCAAATAATTTATTTCCAGTCTTTTTCCCATATCTCCCATATTCTGGCTAATGGCGCGCCACTGTATGGGTAGACGCTGCTGCGCAATGTGCATGAAGATAAGTGATGCATATTCACATATGTATGGCATTCTGTACTGAAGCTAGCTGGAGGAACATTTGAAAACACAATTCAATCCATTAATAGCGAGCAATCTGATGTTTTTGTATGACAGATATACAGCCATTCACTGTATGAAAAAGTGAATGTGTGTCCCCAAAACTTCTTGCTCCATCACCCCCATATTGCCCCCTTTTCGTTCCTTCACCCCCATGTCACCCCTTTTCATTCCATCGCCCTCCTGAAAAATGAAATCGCCCCCTGGGGGGCAATATCGCCCAGGTTAAGAACCACTGGCCTAGGGATATTAAAAACAGTGGGGAAAGTCCATAGAAAGCCAACTTATGCTCTATCGCCTGTTTCTAGGGACAGGGAAAGTTATCTGTCAGGACTAAAGGGGTTAAGCCCTCTGGGAAGAATTTAATTTTCCACCAGTGAATTATCATCATCTTCCAGGGCCTTATCTGAATTTCAGGCATTCCTGTCTCAATTTTCAACTGAGTGTTTGATGTCCCACTAGGTGCAGCTAAAATGGATCACAGGAATTTTTTTATGTATGGTTTCTAAAGAGTTTTTCTTCAAAAAAAAAAAAAAATCCAGTTGTGCCCCATAGAGAATTTGGGTCAATGTTTTAGCCTCAAAGAGTTTTAAGGCTGCAGGGACTCATTGTGTTAAAAAAAAGTGTTTGAAAGCACTTGAGGACCTAAGAGCTGATTCCATTGTGTGATCCAGATGAGCCTTCCAAATACTTTTCATATGGAAAACCACCCCAAGGTACTTGAAAATATTGACCTGTTCTAGATTAAGTCCTTTTTCTCTCCAAGAATATTGAATAGATCTTTTAGCAAAAACTAGGATTTTTGATTTATCAAAATTGAGGATCAGATTATTTTATCTACAGTATTTTAATGTTGCTGAAATAGCTCTCTTGAGTCCAATAGCGGTTGATTTTTGCATTATGTTGATTTTTGCATTGTGCTAAATTGGGAGTATGGAAGTCTGAGTTATACAGAAGATTAATCAGGGAATTAATATAAAGACTGAAAAGGGAAGGGGGCAAGATACATCCTGGTATACTCCTCTTTGTACATTTATTGAGCTAGATATAATCCCTTGTGGGTTACATCTTACTTTTAAGGTGAAGTTAGAATATAGTTTTGTATGAGATAGAGAAGGCATTTATCAATAGTAGTACTCTTTAGTTTATCCCAGAAGGTACTTCTGGATAACGAATCAAAGGCCTGTTTAAAATCAAGGAAGGCCACAAAAAGAAAGGATTTCTTTTTATCTATATATTTTTGTACAAGATAGTGAACTACAATCAACTGTTGATCTCCCTTCCCTGTATCCAGCTTTAATTATGGCCTCTGACATTATCCAGTCTTAGATGCTTAGCATACAACTTGCTAACAATGCTCAGTAGATTAATAGGCCTGCAGTTACATGGATCATTTTTATTGCTCTTTTTATAGATTGGTACAATAATTGCCATTCCCCAATCTCTTCACATACATCCAGTCTGGTCTATAATTGTAAAGAGAGATGCTAAAAGGGGTATCCACCAGCTATGGTTCTTTTTGATTATTTCTGGGAGGACACAATCAGCACCAGGAGCAGTGGTGGGATTCAAATATGTGAACAACCGGTTTTCTATGTGGATGCCACTTCCGGAAGTCCATTCTGGGCCTGGGCAACAAAAAATTAGCTACTGGTTCTGCTGAAGTGGTGCGAACTGGCTGAATCCCACCACTGACCGGGAGCCTTATTAACCTTAAGGATCTGATCAGCCAGGATACCTTTTGTGGTGTAACTGGATGCCAGTAAGGGACTGGGTCCAAATTAATTTGGCTCTCATTGATTTCATGTCCATCTACAACTCTCTAAAGCATTCCTCCCATGCCTGTGTTGGTACTTGGTTAGTTATGGGAGGGAGTGATTTTCCCAGTCCTCTACTGATATGGCAAAAAAGAGATGCATCTTTCATCCTAACTGATTGAATTAATTTACACCTGGACTCCTTCAATGCCACATTTTTCTTTTCTTTTAAAAAGGCCTGATATTGAGTCTTCAAACATCTTAGATAGCGTGTTTGATCCTCAGAAGGGAAGTTTTTATTTTTTTCTGTACTCCTTATTACATGACCACTTTAATTGTATACACTCCCGATTAAATCATTTTCCATTCTTTATGGCCTGCTTTCTGGAATGAGGCAATGTTCCATTGGTGAGAAATCATTTCAGATTGGCAGTTAAGGTTTCAAACACATCTAGATATGATCCTTGAAATTTACTTTCTAGGAGATGTGCATACAATTCTAGAGTATCTGAAGTGTATATCCATTTGATGACTTCAATTTCATTTTTTCAGTCCATTTAATTTCACTTGGGTATTATAGTTATCATGTCTTGGTGGATAGATTGAGTTAGCTCATTGAAATTTCCAGTGGGATGTCAAAAGTGATCACTTTCCATGAATCTACCTCCATCTTCTGAACAAAATTCAAAATGTCACATGATATTATCCAGTAATCAACTGTAGATTTTCTTCCTGCAGCCCAATAGGTGTATTTTGCTGGGTGGTCCCCACTTATGGAACCATTAAGGATACATAGGTCCAGATGTCCAATCATCTGCCTTGCCCATAGACCTTTTAGGTTTTTAAATTTTCCAGAATATAGGGGTTCTATTCATAATGGATCTTAAATTAGTTTAATAATGTACAATCATTTGGTCCCATCCTAGCATTTAAATCCCAACCTAAAATTATTGTAGCTGTGGGATATAAAATTTTTCTATGTGCTCCCAAATATTATTGACCAGATTATTCTTATTACAAGAGGGAATATAAATATTTAAAAGCAAAACCTCCACCTCTTTGGATGAGAGTAAGGTAGTCACAACCTATGGCTGTAAAGAAGGCAGTGAGATACACTTAAATTGCAGAGTTGTGGTAACTAGGATCATTATACCACCTTTAGATCTCCCACCTGCCTTGCTTGGGGCAGCTGAGATAGACTTAAAGCCATTTAACTCCACCTCTGAAGAGATCCAGGTTTCTTGTAGGAAAAAAACATCAAATTGTGATATATAGCAAAAAAAAAAAAAGGCAGTCTTTTTATGGGACTTAGCAGCTAGCAATATTCCAGATTAGAAGGGAAAGAGGATAGTCATTTGAAGTCCATCAGGACAAGAAGGCAAGAAGAAGGTGTGAGGTTATTATATTGGGCTGGGAGGTCATCAATAGCCAATATGGCCTCCTCCAAGGGATGACTTGTCTCATATACGTCCTGAATCAGGTCTTCTTCGGAGTGGATTACTTTATCACCATTTAACAATGCTTGCTTGTAAGGGGAGTCTGCTGAAGTGTTGGGCAAAGAGATGTTAAATCATGCTACATCTGGCTCTGTGTCATTGAAGGATCCCTTATCCATCCCAATTTGTTGCTGGAGTCCCCATGGAAAATCCCAATGAAAGTAATGAAAGTAATGGCTCCTCCTCAACTGCAGGATCCTCTACTGGCTCAAGAGGATTCAGACTTCTATTTTTCATATAGCCATTTTCAGGTAATCCATTATTTGCTGATGGGAAAGATACAAGTTCTCTAAGTGGTTCAGCTATGGCGATTGTGACCGACAAGGTTTTCTTCAGATTTTCTAGTTTAAACAGTATATTTTCTTGTTCTTTATGTGGTAAGGAGCCAAAAGCATTAATAAGACCAGCTTCTGTACTGAGAACATCTTCATCAAGTAAGACTGATTGACTCCCACAGTCTTGCTCTCCCCAAGGTTGGAACTGAAGAAGCAGCAACCTTGGAGCTAGCATATTAGCTACTAAAGGTTTAACCTTTTCATCACAAAAGATTCTGGTACCTTTTCCCCAGACAGCAGACAGTCAGGTTTGCATTAGTAGCTGATTCACTCCTGACCCCCAGAGCCTCTGGTGCACAAAGAAGCACTTTGTAAAACAGGTTGTATTTGTGTCTCTTCTCCCTCCAAAATATTTGTTGAATTTCAAACAAGGTTTGTGATCATTAATAACTTTCTCAAGTTTCTCAAACTTAAATTTGAAGTTTAAATGTGTTAGGATGCCTCCATAGAAGAAGGGACAAACGGGGTAAAAAGAGAGAGAGAGTGCCTCAAATGCTTTGGGTATGCTTTTACTTTTTTAAAAAAAAATTCTTTCATTACAATATCACATTCCAAGAAAAAAGAGAATTGATTGTATTATAAACTGTAAGTCTCTATATATGGACCCAGTTTTGTGTAATACTATATTGTAGTTAATTTGTCACATTAAACACCAAGACACCAAGAGTTCTAATCCTGCCCAGGGCATGAAGCCAGTTAGATGACCTTGGGTCTGTCACCTCTCTTACTTTCTTACTTTTAGGAAGAAAAAAATGTCATGTCGCTTCTAAAAAATGGGGCAGTTTTCAGGTATCCAAAATGATTTGAAGGGATTGTTTTCAAGCAAATATGTGATATAATATTCTAGTTTTTATACTTTAAGAAATATGTAAATTCTTTATCATGTCACTATTACATATATTTACAATTTACTCATATTCTTGCATAGTGGTGCACAAATGTGTACCTGGTTTGGAAAAAGCTGCACAAAACAATATTTTCTGCACATGAAATTAGAGGCAACGTTGCAAGGAGTTAGCAAGTGAGAATAAGAGATGAGGAGGTGATTTGTGCAATAATTTGGTGATAGGCCAGGAGGAAGCACAGAGTGAGGAGGTGAAGAAATATATATAGCCATAAATATTGAAAACAAAGGGTCAAATTCATAATAATGTGTTTCTTTTTTATGTATTAGTTATATTTAGTTCCTATCTGATTACAATGTGTTGATGTATTAATAAAAAAAGAAATAAATAAATGTGCTGGTTTTCTAAGTCAATATTCTATTTGAGTTTGATGCCATTGCTCTAGAGCACGGGTTGAAGTTAAGATATAGCAATAAAAACCCCAGTTTTTTTCTAAAAAAGGGGGGGAAAGGAATGCTAAAAATGAAAAATGAAAAAATGAAAATATTCAAAAACTGAGATGAAAATTGCAATGTCAGAGATAAGGTGGTTGTTATTAGAAAAGAAGCACTAACCCTGTCTACCTTCCCTCCAAATGTCATTTTTTAATTTGCTGCACTGCAACAAGTGACAACAGAATCTTCTAGCTGAGCAAACTTTTATCTAATAGTTCTGATCTTTATGATTTGGTATCATCTGCCACAAGGCATCATCACTGGCCTAAAAAGACAATTATTGCAGGCAGATTGATTCACTTTTATATTCTGCCAATAACCATAACCTCAAAGATGCTAGGGTCAAACAGGAGAAGATCATAATTGTCAGGGCTTACAGTCAGGTTCATACATACTGAGACAATAAGGTTTTTGGCATTTGGCCTCTGTACATCACACACTGAATCTGAAATAAAATACTCAAGATGTGAGCAAAGTAAAGACTTGCACCTTTAATTCACAGAGTTTGATAAAAGTATGCATTAACCATTGAGGAATTATAGCCATTTTCATGCATCCACCCCCAATTTATTGTCCCAATATATACAACTCTCACTGTATTTGGCAGTTTTCAGATGCAAAATATTGGTTGCTCTTTTAAAATGAAAATATTAGACAAAATGATTCATGGTTTGATTGAGAAAAAAACATTATTAGTAATCCTCACTTAACAGCAATAATTGGAACCAGAATTTATTATTAACTAGCATTGTCATAAAGCTTGATGCCACATAACTGTGCCATTAGCAACAGTATTTGTGGTGCTCTGCTTGTTATGAAAATAAATACAGATTGTTAAGCAAGGATATTATGTCTCATCATTTGCAACTTCCTGCCGGCTTCTTAATGGACTTTGATTGTTAGAAGCAGGCAAAGAAGGTAGCAAATAGCAATCACATGAGCATAGGACAGACATTGTGACAGCCATAAAAATAAGGATCACTCATAACTACCATTCGGTGCATGCTGTTATAAATTCAAGTGGTCACTGAACAAGTGGTCATTAAATGAAGATTACCAGTATTACTCTTTTACTTATAAACCTACTCAACCTAATTACAGTACTGTATGTTCCTAGTAATATCAAACAAGTATCAGGCTAGACAGAATTCATACTATCCTTTATATTTGGAGTTGAATCCAGCCTTTTGTCTTTCAGTCAGTACTCTGTTTTTGTGTTTTCAGAAGTACAGTTGCCATTGTTGTGATGTGCTTCCAAGCAAACTGGATATGGGTGGATTCCACTGTGCGGGCACAAATTGCAAAACGCAGCACAAATTTTCCTCTCAGATGACATGGAACAAGATGAATCTTCCTGGCATCATTTATGTTTTTAAGAAGCACTTCATTAAGTTCATTGCTGCCCTAGAATAATGATAAAATATAAAATAATAATTATTTATGTTAATACATGACATTCTTGAAGTTGTGTCAGAGATACATTTGAGTCTTTGTGGGCTGTTATAATTTGTGAGACAAGGATAACATTGTTCATATTTATATGGACTGCTTTTCACCCAGTATATATTGAAATATTCAGAATACCATCAGGTCCAGCTTATTTCAGTTAATGAGGCCTAAAGAAAAAGATGTAGACTTGTAACCATCTAGCCTTCATGGTTTCTTGACCATTGACCCTTTCATTTGAGTTAACCAATGAGAGTTGACTGGTTGATCTAGAAAAAGGAGAAAGCATTTTTGCATGATGGTATGGGACACTTAAATTTACCCACTTCTGAAAAAAAATGCTAAATCCAGATTTTTTTCTGACTATTACCCAGTAACAGATACCCCTTCTTGGGACAAAAGTTAATATCTACAGAGATACTAATTATCCTTTAAAAAAAAATAAATTGACTTAAGCCTGATTTTGGAACCGAACCAGCCATACAGCCATAGTCACCCTGATATCTTGAACAAAAGAAGACAGAGGGAGTGCAACTCTTTTGATTCTGTTTGATCAATAACATTTCCTAGATTATATTCTATGGGCAACATGTTACATTGGGAGTAACATGTTACAATGGGTTACTCCTAGCTGAAGGGATAATCTTATAAATATTATCCTGTGCAGTACCCTATGGCACTGTTCTATCTTCAGTACCCCAGTATGATTCTAAATTCTATGTTCTAATATAAATGTGACTCAGCTCTACTTTTCTGAATAGCTGAATTAGGAAAAATTGAGCACATCCTAAATGCAGGTTGTGTTTAAATGCAGTGATGGAGTGAATGAAAGCCAATAAGGTAAAACAGAATCCCAGTAAGATGGAAACTTTCTGGATGAACAATTTCAGAGTTCAATATTGGTGGACTTACCTGTTCTACACAGGGTAATAATCACTTAGAAAGAACATGGACATCATTTGGTGTTCTCCTAAACTGATTGTTATCAACGGAATTAAAGATATATCCATGGCTAGAAATATCAACTGCTAGCCTCTTTTTAATGAATAGGTTTTGTTAAATTTTGTTTTATGTTGATTTAATGCATTTGGTTTATTATGAATTTTATTGCTGTTTTTATTATAAACTATTTGACAATCCTTTAATATAAAATGTATAAACATACCAAATAAATTTTTCAAAATTTAAATTCAAAAGCACTGAGTCTTTGGCATCATATAACCACTGGGCATTATGATGTTGAGAGACAGTTAAGGATTTAAAATCTATGGTGCTAATGTGTGTGGGATTTGCTCCAGCGATGGAACACCTACAACTCCAGAAGGCAAGATGGTTTACTAATTAATCATTCTCACTGTCAGGAAATTACTTCTTATTTCCAGGTTAGATCTCACTTTAATAAGTTTATACCCATTGCTTCTTGTCCTGCCCTTGGGTGCTTTGAATAATAAATCTACCCCCACCCCTTCTCTGTATTGGAAGACTGCTATCAGGTTTCCCCTAAGTCTTCTCTTTTGTTGGGCTAATTGTACAGTACCTGGTTCCCTTAGCCATTCATCATATGATTTAGCCTCCAGACCCCTAATCATCTATGGTGTTCTTCTCTGCACTCTTTCTAGTCCTCATCTTGTTTTGTAATGTGACTATAACAGGATTCAGTATTCCACATGTGGCCTCACTAATGTAGTACAGAGCAGTATTACCACTTCTTGTGATCTTGACACTATCCTTCTATAACTGCATTGGCTTTTTTGCTAGTTGTAGCAAAATTCAACTCATACGTAAGCAGTGGTCCCCTGAAGGACACAGATCCTTCTCACAGATACTACTGTTGAGCCAGGTACTACTGTTTTTCCTTCCTTTACCTTTCTCAGTACTGAACTGCATTTTGTTGGATAATTAGTCAACTTGGTCAAGATCCTTCTGCATCTTAAGTCTACCTTCTAAAGTGTTAGCAATTTCCCCGAGTTTCCACAAATTTGATGAGCATCCCTTCAATGACATCTATGTCATTTATAAAGGTATTGAAGAGAATTGGCCCAAGACGGTACCATGAGGTAGCCTACTGCGTTCTTCCCTCCACATAGATATAGTTCCATTGAGGACTGGCCACTAAGTGCTATTGGTCAGTTAACTGCAAATTTCTCTGGTAGTGGTACTATCCCACATTCTTCTATCTGTTTTATTTCACCTTTACCATCAAAATGTTTTCTTATAGGAGGAAGAATTTTTAATTGTTTTATTTTATAACAGATCATAGTGTGTGTGTGTGTGTGTGTGTGTGTGTATATATATATATATATATATATATATATATATATATATATATATATATTTAAGAAGATTAAAAACATGAATCCTGGGAATATTCATGGCAAGAAATAAAATGATCACCAGGATAATAAAAACTATAAAATTTATTAAAAAGCGCCTAGCTTTCGCCGTCACCTGCCGGCATCCTCAGGGCTAATGAGCCAGGGAGTGAGAGAATCACTTTTAAAGGCATGTCAAAGTCTGCGCACGACTCCTCAGCCTCGTCATCGGGCCCGGTTGGTATGACTGCGCACAAATGGTCTGTTCTTTCCTGTTCATTTCAATTGCGTGTTCATCATCATCCATCCTTCTTTCCCTTGGTCTTAGGGTGGATGGGTAAATATCTCTCTTATTATGGTGGTCCCTATGTTTTAACCCTTCCCCCCCGGGTTCGGGTAGTAATACACATTTCATGTTTGTTTTGTAATCCTCCTTCGTCCCATTGTTCTTCCTACGGCGAGTTTTTCCTTTGATTTCAATACTTTCACTTCTTATGCAAACGTCATCTGGATGATCTTGCAAGTCCTTCCGAAGTGGATGCAAACCACCGGTGGTCTGGGGCTGGAGGGTAGATTGTTCAGTCACGGGAGGAGGGGGTGGTTCCCTAGCTACCATTGCATCCAGCTGCTTTGTGCGTACTATACTGTGATTAGTCAGTCCGGGGGGAGTGGCGGTAGAATTGTGTTTTCGCTCCCCCCCCCGGGTTCAGATGGCAATACACATCCCGTCCCTGTCTTGCACTCCCCCTTAATCCCATGGTTCCTCCTACGGTGGGCCCCTCCCTTGGCTTCAACACTTCTGCAAACCCCGTCTGAGCAATCTCGTGGATCCCTCCGGGGTGGATGTAATTTGCTGACGATCTGAAGTTGGGGGCTAGATTGTTCAACCGTGGGCGGGGGGTGGTGGTGGTTCCTTAGCCACCACTGCGCACAGCTGTCTTATACGCCCACTGCTACGGGTAATCTGTCCGGGGAGGGTAACGGTGGGATCATGTTCTATTTGATCGTCGCAGCGTCTCTCTTCGATTCGCCTCCTCCCTCTTACATCGTTGTTATCTATACGGGTCCTCCGGAGTTCTCCGGGATGCGCAAACGGGGGGCGTGATGGTCCGGTCTCCTGTATTTTCTCTCCCTCTCCAATGCCGTTCGTGGGTCCACCTCCGATTGCGCTCTGTAGTTCTCTCTCTCTCAATCTGGCCATCCTGGTCCGACAGGGGGGCCTTTCCTTTCTTTCCGAATCGGCCATCATATTTTTCTCCGTGTGTGGGTGAGCTGTCACATCCAGAGCTCCCTCTCCTCTTCCATTGGTCATGTCCTCCTTTATACAGGTCGCACCACCTCAGGTATTCATGGTGTCCGAATTCTGGATTTTGGTTTCCACCACCTCCTTAACCCTTTGGGGCTGTAATAATGTTACAGATGTAGTAGAGGTGTTCTCCGATTGTCTTTCCTCATTCGGGCTGCCCCGGATCAATTGGGGGGTTGGTTGCTCCTCCTTGATGCCGTTGGGGTTATTACTGGGACGTCGGGGGTGTTGTCGCTGGTTGTTCGTACTCCACAACCTTAAAGCCATATATGCCGGGCACAGATCCACATGCCGGTTGATAGAATTACTGTCCGAGAGCCATGCCTCCCTAAGCAGGCGGCCCCCCTTGGTGTTGTCACTAGCCAATACGCTAACCTCACTGAAATTGAATTTGTGATCTAGCTCCGCCATGTGTGCCCATATTTGGGAATGTTGATCTCCCCTTTTCACTGCTAATCTATGTTCATGGACCCTTGTCTTAACCCGTTTGGCTGTCTCCCCAACATAATTAGATTGGCAGTCCATACAATTGATCTTATAGATGGCTGCCGATTTTTCAATGTTGGGGAGTGGGTCCTTAGGGTGCATTATAGTTTATTTAGTTTATTTAGCATGTGTTGATTTTTTCTTATTTTTTGAGTTTTCTCTTTTTTTTCCGGGCGGAAAAGTGAGAGTGAAAGTAAAATGGCGTTTTGAAAGTTTTTTTTTCTTTTGAAAGACGGACTGGCTAAACTGTTGTTTAATACTGCTTTCCTTTTTAAGTTTTTCTTTATCTTTTGGGAGCTCTTAAATTGATTCCATTTTATCCTATTTTACCTTATTTTTAACTTTTGGACTATTTATTTTTTATTGGTATTTTTACGAAGAAAGAAAGATAAATTGAAATGGCTTCAAAACGACAACCAGCTACTACAGCTCCTAAGGTAACTTCTTCTCCTGCCACCTCTACTGTGCAACAACAACTTAAAATAATACCCTCAGTGCAGCAACCTAAAACTACTCCACCCTCACCTCCCCCATCTGGCACATCAGCACAAGACATTAAAGAAATAATGGTAAGTGCTGTGTCACAGTTTAGGGAGGAAATGAAGCAACTTTTGGAACAGAATAAATCTGAAAGCAAGGAAGAAATGAAGAAAGAGATGAAGGAGCTTTTAGAACAGAATAATACTATATTGAGGGATGATATACTTCTAGCTTTATCTGGAGTGGCCTCAGTGGTTGTGAAGCTGGACTCTAGAGTGGAGGAAATTGAAGAAACAGTAGAACTTTTGGACTATAAATTCCAAGATATGGAGAAAAAAGTGGAAACTTCACAAGATGATATTCTTATGTTCCAG